ATGGAGGTTTATCGTTTATGCCATAATCCAGAGATTAAAGGAAGAAATCCTGTGGGATTAAATGACATCCTGGTTAAAAGCTTCATCACTGGAGGATCATTTGATCCCGATCAATAATCAACTGATCAGGTTCTGTTCAGAGGTTCTGATCCAAAAACAAAAACTTCTGTCATCCAGGATTTAACGTCCTGTAATCTACTGGAATAATCTGGATTACAGAGAAATCTTAACACAGAGCCCTGCAGGACTCCACCTGAACCCTCCACCTGTCCTGACTCCTCCCCTCCACCTGTTCCAGATGTGAGTGGGTGGAGCCTCCTGCTGTGTCTCAGTTCTTCAGAGCCGAGCTGCTTGAGGAGGATCAGATTCTCACATCTGCAGCATCAGATGGTGAGACTCATCTGTCCAGGCTGAGTCCTGCTGGATGACATCACAGCTCACCTGTGTGTGTGTGTGTACAGGTGAACCTGCTACCTGAGCTGATGGAGGCGTTTTCAGATGCAGGTGAAGGTCGATGTCGCTTCTATCTGCAGCTGACAGGTGAGTCTGTTCCAGGTCAAGCAGAAGTCAACCTCAACGCAGTATTTCACCTTTGACCTTTCTCTAGAAGCTGATCTTCCCATGAGGCCTGTGTCCTGTGGGTCGTCCAATCAGAAGCCTCCCTTTGCTCAGAACAGGTGAGCATAGGGTCGTCAGGTGGTCCGGGTCTGATTGGACCTGGAAGCCCCATGTTTGCTGATTGGACGGTGAAACTTTCAGTTTCCTATTTCCGGGACAGGCCCAGCCACGCCCCCTCTCCTGCTCTGGTTGCCATGGTGAATGTCTTTGTCCTGGTGACCTCTGTGACCCCTCTGACATCATTCCTGCATGACATCATCGTGGTGAAGGCCAGCGAGAACGACCCGGGCCAGCAGACCCAGGTGATGAACCAGAACTTCTGGTAGGATCCGGGTCAGTAGAACCTCCTGACCTTTTGGCCTCCTGCCCTGCAGATCAGAACCTTCCTGCTGCAGCGGTTCGGGCCGGCCTCGGCCCGGCTGGCCTGGATCCAGGTCCAGAGGGCAGTGGTGGCGGTGCTGCAGGTGGCGTCGACCAATCAGGAGCCTGCAGCGGGCGGCAGGTGAGGCCCGGTTCTGCCCAGGTTCGTCTCTGCGGATCCGTCCGGTTCTGACTCCTGGTTCTGGTTCTGTCCAGCTGCCTGCTGTGCTTCCAGCTGCTCACCTTCACTCTGATGTTCAGCGGCGCCGCCTCTCCTGCTGTGGTCCAGGTGAGCTCTGCCGCCCCTTGCTGGTCACGCTGGTTCTGACCCGCTGGTCTCAAAGTTCTGCCAGGTGGTACCAGCTCAGGACCGGTTCGGTTACGCTGAATGTCCAGCAGGGGTCAGCGTGTCTCTGTCTGTCCAGGTGGACCCGGGACTCAGCGTCCCGTCTCAGGGTGAGGACGCCTTCAGAGGACAGATCACCAGAGACCGGGTCCTGGAGGACAGTCTGCGCCTGCTGCTGCCGCTGCCCACACACCTGCAGACGCACCGGGCCTTAGAAACCCTCAGGCGGCAGGTGAGTTTGTGTTGCCATAGCAACGGGAAGCAGGAAGGTGTTCAAAGTGAGTCCCGGGGGCCGTTTGTGGTCCCTGATAATAATTCAGGAATAAATGCAGTAAAACAGACTGATGGATAGTTCGGCTGGTTTATTGCTGAGGGTTTTAACTGGATCCTCTGTGTTCAGTACGGTGGCTGCAGAGGGACACACGGCAGCTGTTTGAACCATGACCACTTCCTGTTCCTGCTGCGCTTCCATCTGCAGCTGCAGATGCCGTCAGCCTTCCACCTGGTACGCCTGGTTCTGATGGTTCTGGTTTTGTCATGGAGCTGATCTAAATCAGTGTCTCTCTGCAGCTTCATCCCTCCTCTTCCTCCTCTTCGTCGCCCCCCCCCAGCCTGCTCCTCCTCCTCCTCCTCAGGATCAGTCGGCACCACGACCTGCAGAGCAGCAGGTGAGCAGCCGAAGCTTCCAGCATTCAGCTGCTTTCTCTTCAGTCACATGACTCACCTGTTCTCCACAGAGAGGCCAACCCACCGACCAATCAGCAGCCAGCATTGGGGTCACCTGGAGGTGAGAAACATCTGGAGCGCAGCGCAGTGCAGTGACCGGACCAGAACCAACTACTGGTATCTGGTTGGGTTTTCAGTCAGAAATCTGGATCCTCCAAACTGCCCTCTGATTGGCCGGCGTTCTGCCCCCAGGGTTGTGTTTGGACCCCCGCTTGAGGCAGATCTACTCGGAGCCGCCCCTAAGCCTGACTCCGCCCTTTAGCCCTGCCCTGAAGGAGTACCGGGCCGAGGTTCCCTTCGACACAGTGATGGTTCGGATCCGACCGGAACCGATCAGCGCCGCCTGCGTAGTCTGCCTGGACAACCACCGAGGACCCAGGTTAGCCCCGCCCCCTGACCTCTGACCCCTGCCCTCACAGTTCTGACCCATTCTCCTCCACAGGACGGCCAACTTCCCGGTCGGCATGGGAACCAGCCAGATCAGCATCCTAGTGACGGACGGGGCGGAGCCTCGTCCCGTCGTCATGACGATCTACACAGTCCACGTTTACCGTGAGAGCCGGCCCAGCCTGCCGGCGTTCGGGGACCATGTGACCTGCAGCTTCCTGCAGGTGGGCCAGGGGTCAGGGGTCGCAGAACTGCTGACTAGGGTCAGACGAGTGAACTCTTAACGTTCCAGAAAAACTTTTTAAGCCAATATCAGAAACCAGGGACGCTCCCATCAGGTTCTGTGCTGCCGACACCGATCATCCATGGGCCGATCCGCCCATCGCCTGGATTGGCTGTTAATTTTTCACTTTAGGCATAAATGATTCTATATTATCTGGCAATAAATTCACCTAATTTAGACATAACACATATTTCAATACACGTCTAGAATCTGTTTTCAGCTCCAAGCAGCTGCTGCTGTGAGAGCTCACCGTCTGGAGGCTAAGCCGCTCCGACAGCAGAACCAGAACCAGAGTCTCACTCCGCGGCTCCAAGACTTGAATTATTGTTGGGGTTATTTGTTTAGCTTTCCGACCGTGATGCTAATCCGGTGAGTGTTGGTAGCTGCTGCCTTGATGTAGCCAAACTGCGTCATGTTCTTTAAATATCACATCAGGCTGGTGGTGTTGCTCCGCCCTCCAGGTCATTTTCCGCTGAAACTCACAAACGTCTCCGTTCACTCAGAGTTAAATTTCCTCAGCTGCAGGCTGAGAAGGGAGATGCAGGTGATCGGTTTGTGATCGGCAACAAAGGACAGCGATCGATCACCGATGGAAATCGGCTGATTATGATCGGTGGCTGATCGATCGGGACACGTCTATCAGAACCAATAAATGTTCACAGCAAAAAACTGAAATCTGACCAAATTTTTCTGTTTAGATCAAATCCAGGAGAAAATAAAAATAACTTCTTAATGCTGATTTTAACGGCAGATTATTCCCGTCATAACCAAACGTTTCCATGGAAACACGGATCATCCAGAACCAGAACTGACGAAGGAGAAACGTCTCCAGAACCTTCATCCTCCTCCTCTTCCTCCTGTTCTCAGTCCTGACCCCCTGGTGACCTCTGACCCCGTCAGTCCATCAGATCAGGAACAGGTGAGGCTGGTCTCCCTGTCCGGAGCTGCAGCTGCTCGGTTCGGCCAGAGGGGGGCGCCAGAGCTGGAAACAGATTCAAAATAAAAAGCTTGGAATGGACCAGAACCAGAACCGGGTCAGTCCAGAGCAGCTTTGGTCCTCATTGCGTTCAGAAATGAGAATGACTGAAACTGGACCAGAACCAGTCACAGTGGGTCCGATCAGAACCGCTGCCCGTTTTAAGAAATCCAGTTTAAAGTTCTGGAGAACAGAACCGGAACCAAGCAGAGTTCTGGAACCGGATCAGAGCCAATTCATTTTCAGCTAGATGCATCCTGTTCCTCAGAACCGTGTTGGACCAGAACCAGGAGCTCACTGGGGTTCTGATCCAAACCCGACCCGGTTCAAAAATCTGATGTGATGTTTGAACCGGGTCGGACCAGAACTTTCCACTCAGCTCCAGGGGTCAGAACCGGGTTCTCCTGGGAACGTCGGGTTCTGATCCAGACAGACAGGTTCTGGAAGATGAACCTGTTCTCAAACCGGACACTGAGGATCCTTCAGGGCCGGTTCTGTAGAACCTCTTTCACCCAGACACTGACCCAGTGGAGATCCGTCATCTTCTGTGTCAGAACCGAGGTCCAAAATGTCCTTGATGCATCATCCCAGCTGGTGACTGGGTTCTGTTCTACAGGGCGGCCCGGGTTCTGGTTCTGTTGTGCGTTTTCACCTTTTCTTTTCCAATCTTCGCGGTTCTGTCTGCCAGAACCGTTTTTGCTAACCAGAACCATCTGAGGCCTTTGGACCCGGCAGGAATTTCTCTGCAGCTTCGCTTTTCCAGCCAAACGTGTCGCAACCGAGACGGAGCAGAACCAGCGCTGAACGCTGCGGCCCGGTCCAAACGCAACTCTGAGTTCCTGTCCGAAGGCAGATGAGCAGGAGTACGGGTCAGAGCGGCGCAGCGGGATCCAGTGGGCCCCGGCAGTCCGGGTTCCTGCTCTCCGCTGAGCTGTGAATTCCCGACCCTCCGGCCCTCCCCTCACTGATTCCCAGAAAAACAGAGCGATGATCTGATGAGAGCTGATCCGGATTACGCGGGCCTGCGAGTGGATCCGGGTCTGGAGCTTTGATCACGGTGCTGGAGGGTGAGTGTTGTTGTCCGGCTGGGACGGATCGAGTCCGACAGAACAGAAACAGTTTTCACTTTGACTCCGTCGGGCTCGCCTGAGTGCCGTCAGGAACGCTTTCCAGCACAAAGTCAAACATTTGGCTGATTTTATCAGCAGAAATATGAAAACTCAGTCCTTCAGCTTCCCTGGATCAGGGAACACCAGAACCGGAGCGCTGCACAAACCAGACCTTCCACTTCTCAGACCCACAGGTTCGACATAGTTCTAGAAAGATTTTCCTCTTACCAACAGAGAACTTCCTGTTCCTTGGTGATCCAGTTGATGAAAGTGTCCAGGAACTCCTCGGTTCCCCAGCAACATCCCGTTCCCAACAAAGTTCCCAAGTCACCAAAACGACCTTGAACCCAAAGATCTTCAGTTCCCTACTTGAAATAAATCCAAGGTCCTCTCCAGGTTCACTTCCACATCGGATCTCCAAAAATTTCCCGAAGCCAAGCCTCCAAACTGAGTTAACTTTCCCAGGAATGGCTTCAATTCCCAAAGGAAAACTTTCCTGAAGCGACCAACTGCCTCATGCATAAGAGTTTGCAGTTTTCACACTAAAACTTGGTGCCGGACAAATTTAGAAAAGTACGGCGCACTAAAAAACCAGATGTATGAAGCTGTGCTGCGCTCAGACCTGCTCACCTTTCCTTTATCAAACCTGATTTACAGGAAGCAGAGCAGCTGCTGGTCGCCTCCAGAAATGCATCTGAATGTAGAAATAGTAGAAATATTCATTTATACTAATTTGCATGGTTACTGCCGCCACGTGAAGCAGTAACCATGGCAACGTCCTTGTTTGTACCAGTAAAAGTATCTTTAATAATCATTATATATTTTATTTAAAAGGTGCTTTCAGGGCACATAAGGTCAAATCACAAAGAATAAAACATTTTAAAGAAAAACTACAGATAATAAAAAGTAAAGAGTAAAGTGGTCCGGGTCGGACCTGCTGCTGCAGCAGAGCGTCCGGGTCCGACCTGCTGCTGCAGCAGAGCGTCCGGGTCGGACCTGCTGCTGCAGCAGAGCCTCCGGGTCGGACCTGCTGCTGCAGCAGAGCCTCCGGGTCTGACCTGCTGCGGCAGCAGAAGCTGCATTCACAGAGTAGAGATGCTTTCTGTCCATAAGGCGCTTTCACAAAGCGGGCGGCTCCACTGGAGGACGGCTGCAGCTGGACCGGTACCGCTGGTACCGCTCTAAGTTCTGCTCAGAGCTCCAGGATGAATCTAAACGCTGATCGACCATCAGATGGATCTGATCTGTGATCAATCCTCCTCT